CAAGCAAGCAAGCAAGCAAGCAAGCAAGCAAGCAAGCAAGCAAGCAAGCAAGCAAGCAAGCAAGCAAGCAAGCAAGCAAGCAAGCAAGCAAGCAAACAAACAAACTAAAAAATGGCATTCCTCACACTCGTCCCCGTCGAGCGCCCTGCTTCCGTCGTACCCAAGCATCTATCTTCGCCCACTATCACTCGCACCTCGACTCCGACGGACAACAGCAACGCCAACACTAACGGCACTAGAGCAGAAAAGCCCGTTATCCGCAACGACCACGACTCCGCCACGTCACTGGCCGCCAAGGCCAAGGACGCCGTCGTCACAACTACAAGTGATGATCCAGCGCCCGGGTGCAAATTCCTGCAATTGACGCCGGGTGTCTACGAAAGCAGCGACTCGGCCGAGGTTCCGCGTCAAGGCTCCGACTCAAGTTTAGGCTCAATCAAGGTCGGGTTTGAAGTCTCGAGCGCAAGTGCTGCCGAGGACGGACGAGGCGGCCAGGAGCGAAGAGGGGAAAGGGGGCGGGGGTGCAGCAGACTTGTTTGTATGCAATTAGACATAGACACAGGTAGTGAGTGAGGCAGCGAGTGAGGCAGCGAGTGAGGCAGCGAGTGAGGCAACGAGTGAAAAAGGGGGTTGTGAGTGATTGCCTGTTCTCAATGACACACGATCCGTACAAGCACAGTATCATATGTATCACAACCAAGTATCATTTTGTCCTCTGAACGTTGACGTTGACTGCACCGCATGTACAACAGGCTCAAGCTCTCGAAATCGGCTGGCCTGCCTTGGTGATCAGCGCAATCCAAAATATCATGTCGTGTTGTGTTGTGTCTGTCTGCTCTGCTCTGTAATAGATACCCAAGTGCAGAACTGTTTCGAGACACATACATGACCAAACAGCTCCAAAGAGTCAAATCCAACTTCTGCCCTGCTGAATATCGTACGAACCACAGGGATCCCATTCAATGTCCAAGCCGCCAATATCTGATCCATGTACGACGTCAAAAAAGCAGTCAACATCCACCATCGTCCTCGCACATGTGCGACACCATTCTCTCCCAAGGAAGACGACGAGATCAGCACCGCTGCAAGTAATTACTAGGCACCAAGCCAATCCCGCCTCCTTTCATCCCCCTTGCACTCTCCTTGACCTCGGCCTCCCACCAACCATCATCCTGAAGTCGCAATACCGCGAGGATGTCGCCTTTGGAGAAGGAAAGTTCTTCGGGGATCGCTGCCGTGTAGCTGTACATCGCTCTCGCTATACAAGTGTGTTAGAAGATTGTTTTTCTGGAAATTTCGTATGGCAGATGAATGGTGATGGACGAGGCGTGCTTGACTTACCATAATGTAGGATCCGTTGCTGACGTTGCTCTTGAGCTGGCGGACCCGCTCGGTATGGTATGGTTGCGAGACTCTTGCTCCTCTCTCTTCTTAGTTCAATATCCATACCCGCTCCGTTTACACTTCCGCCTCTTTGTCGGACATCATACCCCTGCTGTTGATACTGGACCTGCTGCTGTTGCTGTGATTGTTGCTGAGCGTACCGATCTCCGCCAAAACTGGAGTTGGGCCGCATCATTCCCTGGCGACTTCTTCCACTGCCACCGGACCCATCGTATCGGGTCGTATCTTGAGAGCTCAATTGTATTTCCATACCGGTGCTTTGTCTAGGCGCTTGATTCACCGTTGGCCCTGCGCCTCGTGAACGTCCATAAGGATTCGGCGAGGCCGCGCGGTATTGCTGAGACCCAGGTCGTCCTCCTTGCCCTTGGCCTCCTCCCGACGTCACTGCGGGATTCGGACTGGCTGCTCTGGGGATCATGGCAGGTGCCGGGCTTCTCGAGCGAGGCTGGTATTGATGGCTCTGTTGTGGTTGCGGACTCGCAGCACGAGGAATGACACCGGGAGCCGGACTCCGGGCACGGGGAGGATGCTGGCTTTGAGATTGAGGTTGAGGACTCGCTGATCTTATCATCCCTGGGCCAGGACTCCTCCGTCCATCTCTCGTTCCAGGTCTTGATGGCTGAGTGTGACCAGCTCCTTTGGCGCCCCATGTCTCCGTGCGATTCAACATTTCTCGCTTGGTATGCGCCGGTTGGGGCACACCAAGAGCGCTCTGAGCGCTCTGAGTTCTTCCACCCGCGGTCGGCGCTGGCCCAGCGGTCTCGTATGCCGGTGGAGGTGTTCCTCTCTGTGCGGCTAGGCGAGCTTGACTCTCAGCGCTCAGTACGCCTGGTCGAGTGACTGGTTCCTGGTCAGGCGCAGGAGTGGCTACGCCGTGATACCGATCCACGGGTACCCGCGTGCTTGATTGTTTGGCCATCGCCGTGGCGCCGCCGGAGCTTTGTTTGAGATCTGCAAGTGCTTGTGCTATAGGATCGTGCATCAATTCATTGCCTATTACGGCAGGTGGAGGCATAAACTGACTGCGCCGGTTCGTTGTACTTGCTCTGGGCGTTGAGTCCTGAGCGCCATCTGGACTGGCCACGTCAAAGACGTTGTTGCCCACACTCAATTGAAAGCTGGCTCGGGGATCAGCGGCCTCTTCGCCTTCGGGAGCGATGGCGGCGGCATTTCGATTGAAGTAACTCGGTGCCTGACGTGCTGGAGATTTGGTAGGACTCGACTGCGCACTGGATACGGTGGGATTCAGATTTACGCGAGTACCGGTGACTGACGCTCCGTTCCAAGTGTTGCGGTTTGTGGAATCGCTCGCCCGCTGGGTTTCGTGCTCTTTCCTGGACTTTCTGCGAAACGGACTGTTCGAGAAGAATCCGGACCGCTTCTTCTGGACGGATTTGTCAGGTGATGCCATTCCAGGGAGTTCAACGCCGTTAACAGGCGCAACTTTGGTTGGCGATGCCGCGCCAGAGCTGAGTTCTGCGCTCGTGAATGAGCTTGGTGCGGAATAGTCACTTCGGTCATCCCTGCTATCTGGTCGGGTGTTTGAGGATAAGGCAGAACCAGCGACCGACGGTGCATCACTTCTGCAGAACATGGTCATGCCTTCGGTCGGATACTGATTGTGTGGCACTTGCGGAACTTCGCCATGTTGACTCGGCGAGTAATTCGGCGGCACGTTTGGACCCAGTTGCTTGTAATTCAATGGTGGCGGACGTCCACTATTCCCATTTGACGGAGTCGGCATATCATCCTCATCCGGTCTCACCGGCTCTTCTGAGTGTCGTCGCTCTGGAGTTTGGCTGCTTCTGGCCTTTGTAGAACTTGAGTGAGTTGGGGATGATGTTCTGAAGGCGGGATTTGTGGTCCTTGAAAACTGCGCAACAGAGTAGTTCTCGTCTTCCGAAACCTCAGATGCACTGTCCACGTCGCCTCGACAGAAGTTGATGTACCGAGGAGGGTCGGGAATTTCCTGGCCTGTCCCGCAGGTTCTTATGAAACTGGAAATGTCCTTCTCGACTTCACAATTTTCCAGCGCAAGTCTGATCTTTTCGCAGGATGCGTCATCTGAAACGCACACCGTGGAAGCAATGTTAGCAAAAGCCCAGAGGGATGACTTTGTAAAATCGAGTCGTTCTTCTTCGAGATCTTGGAACTTGTCGCACGCGGATTTCCACTCTTTGTTCCACCGACCTGTCGTTTCCTCCAATACCTTTATAGCAGCCTCGTATTCATTCGAGTTCGTGGCCATGTTGATCTGTGTCTTCTCGAGCTTTGCCTTGTTCTTCCGCTCCTCTTGTCCCATGACCATGTGGCCCTGGGCCAGATATCCCTTGATCCGCAAACAGTCCTGTTCATACTTATCCCGACACTTGTTGACATGAGCGGTTTGTGTTTGTTTCACCTTGAGCAGCCTCTCGATCCCGTTCTGGATGATTTTGCGACGCTCCTTGATTCCGCCTGCAAACGCTGCCAGAGGTTCTTCAAGTTCTGATCTCATTTGCTGGGCGATCAGAGCATGTTGCTTGCCCATTGACTCTGTCTCTCCTCTAGCGACATCCAAGCTGGTGCGTAAAGTCCCCTGTTCAACGCTCCCCAACGGCTTGCGCGATAAGCTCAGGAGTTTTTTGGCATAGTCTTCCTCCAACGCGGCTCGCGCACTGTAGAAGGCTTTCAGTTCGTCGCTTGTGGTTTTGGCATTTTGCATTCGGGTAAGGAGAGGGTCGACGCCGGCGTCATCTCGTCCCCAGAAGTTATTCGAAACTGTCCTCGGCAATTAGATGATAGCCGGGCATGGATTCCTGCGACACTTACAGCTCAATGGCACAGATGGAGGGGCACCCGCTTCCGACGCTGCGCCTGGCAGCATCATGCCAGCCCTAACAAAGTTTTCTCTGCCTGTTGGTCGGAAGTGCGGATACAGATGTAATTATTGAGCCGGATGATATCGTAACAATGGGTATTCACAATGCAGCTATTGTAGGGGGTGGTGAAAGCGGGCAGGTTGCATATGCAGGAGAGCCACCACGATGGTTCAATGAAGTGTTTGGGTGTCCGAATCGGGTTGCCTGCGTTTCCTAGCAACCAAGCGCCAAGAAAATATCCAGCCTCGTTGCCGCACAGCCTTGTGCACTGCTGCCTCGCCCCGTTCCATTGACTGCTTGGTTCTCGTGTTCCCTGTTCAGTCAACTTCGAACATAAAACCCCAGCCCTTCACAAGCCGGGTCTCGACTCCCACCAGCTTCAGCATCCCCCAAACTGTAGTGCTAACAGAATCAAGTACAGTGGCCCTGAGCGACTTTTCCCAATACTCCACGCGCTGTGCTGCTCGGATGTTGGTGCAGAAGGTTGTCAATACGTGCGCGCCGTTGGCCGCCACATCCATCACCATTTCATCCAAGGTGCTTTCATCTACTTGCACAATCTCATTGTTGTCCGTAATTCCCAGGTGACGTTCCCAATTCGGGCTAATATCTATTCCGATTGCTGCATAATTGGAGCGTATCGCATCATTCATCGCTTTGATGTACGGAGTCACCAGCCCTATCGAGGTGACGCCCAAACTGTGCATGAGGGCGTTGAGTGACAGGACCGACGTTGTCGCCTTGATACCAGTGTCGGCTTCAATTGCAGCGCACAGCCTCTCATCGTGCTCAAACCCAAGCCATCCGGCAGATGTGCCACACCAGCCGATCACGTCGACCTTAGCATCGGCCAACAGCCGTGCTGCGGACAAGATTGGTTCAAATTTGAACTGAGCGGTTGCGTTTGGAGAAAGATCGATCGTGGTAACACGAAATCGAGAGAAATGCACCGAGATAGACAGACTCTCGGAATGTATCGACGAGATGATGGCATTTGTCAGCGGTTCTGCTGCGGTATTCGACGAAGGGACAATAACCCCAAGTCGTACGACTCTCATCGTTGGCCTATTTCCGTGATTAGCAGGATGCCAGATATTATACGGCGGGATATAGGACCTTACACAAGCCGTCTGGCAGAATCAACATCACCTCTGATGGATAAAGGTGGCTTGGTCGCAGCTCCGGAGTTTCACGTCAGCTTGCCAAGAGGCCTGAGCGGCTCTATCACGCAGCCCCCGGAATCAACCTTTTGGGCGATCCGAGCGACCCAATCCCTCGCACAAACTTCAATGCTACGGCGGACATATGCAGTATGAACTCTGCCGCTGCGGAGACTTTCCCAATGTCAGAATGCACCTCACCTCTCCGTGTTCACTCATTCTCGACAAACGAATTCGCCAGTCGGCCGAAGTAGGGCACTTCGAAATGGTCCAGTGTCTCAACATCTCTGTAAGCATGAAGTGACAGAAAGCCGATCAAGAGCAGGTCGATTGTGAACAACATCCAGGAGAGCACCTTTGACCAGGACAAGACCAGATGGAGGACAAAAATGGCCGAGAAGAGCATGCTAGATTGCCAAGCGTGAAACCGCACATAGTCGCTCTTGTGCTCGAACAAGAGGAGAAAGACACCTCCAGCAGGTGGAAGGAGAAGGTATGCCAACATTGCTTCATAATCTACTCTTAGAGGCAGGCTTGTCTCGAAAGCCTCCAAGCTCTGTTCCCTGTGTTCCCCAGCGAATGACGGTCCGGTAACGAAATCGTTTGCAAGGGCACTAGGTCGAAGCAGCGATGGCGTCCCGGCGTTGGCACGAGGTATGGGCTGGATGGGTTTGTTCTGGGGAGGAGGCGATCGCACTCGAGGCGAATCGATGGAAGTGCGAGGAGGAGGTGAAAGGGCGCGTTCTCTAGATGCAACTCGATTAATCCTTCTGTCTGTCCGTCTTCGCCCGCATCCAATTTGGGTGGTGACAAAAACTCACATTTCCGGCGACGCATCCTGGTAAGGCGCGAAATTCATTGTTTATTTCTCCGCAGTCGGTCGGGTTTCGGGTTCTGGGGCGTCGAACGCGTAGAATTGAGGGAACCCGCTGTGGTGTACTTGTTTTGGAGTGAATGCTTCTGAAGATGTCTTGTGCGAGCGGATATCGACAGCTAGATGGGTTGGATGACGAAGCCTGTCTGTGACGCAGAATGGGCATTGCTTGGGGTGCAGGTCAAGCAGAGGGAAAAGGGCGCCTGGGGGATGGCTTCGGGAAGGCTAGTGAGCCTCACTACCATGGCTAGCCTTGCTGCTTTTAAAACTACATAGCTACCAGTATCTTGCAGTATGCACAAGTCCTTGTATGCACTAGAGACCGTACTCGGATGCGCTCCTCGGTACCTCGTATATACCTCGCGACATGGCTTGATGGCCATCTCAGCGGAGAAGCTGCAGCAGGGTCTCGCCTATTAGGACAAAATATTTGATAGCCCCGTCGTTAATTGGCGACTTCGTCTGGCAAGTAGCTGATCAAGCAACCAACTTCGTGAAATCGATTTGGCGTGCGGAGTGATTCGGATTGTGAGCTGGTAAGGGTGGTAAGGGTAGTAAGGGACAATCGTGGTCCCGTGGATGACGCCCGCCGAGGTGGTGAGACGTATTTATTAACCTGCAGGTGCGACGCCCTATTAACTGCCACCTGCGTACCGAGTATTCCACTTTCACCCATCAAAGGCATTGCCGTTGCCATTACCTGCGCTTGACTTGGATGAGCCGAATTCTCTCTTCAGTTCCCCTCCGATACAGCGCCTGTGACCACAGTTCGACATGGCTCTCAATCTGGAGAAGCAACTGCGCTTTGTGAGCACGCTGCGGCCCCTCTGCCCGCAATCCCACTGACCATTTTCCCGCAGTACGGCGCCTACCATCATGACCCTGTACGGTTCGAGGTATCTGCTCGAGATGGAAAAAAAAGACTGATGTGCACTCAGGTCAACATTGGCATACATATGGTCGGAGTTCCCGTTATTCTATGGACTACGTTTCTCTTGGTAAGAGACAGACCGTCCATCCGAAGAGCATGACGGCTGACCTTGTGCCAGTTCACAAACTCGGGTACACTGATTCAATTGCCTCAATCCATGACCATCCCCAACCTCGAGCTGAACGCCGGCACCCTCTTCTGCCTATGTTACTGCGGATTATACATATTACTCGAGCCGGTCGCGGGGACGGCCTTCGCCGCATTACTTCTCGCCGGAACTGCCTACGGACACCACCTCGTCACTGTCCACGGAATGACTGCCAACTTCTGGGCGGGCGCGGCATTTGTGGCAGCGTGGATCGCACAATTCATGGGCCATGGTGTGTTCGAAGGACGTGCTCCTGCTTTGCTGGACAACATCTTCCAGGCATTTTTCTTGGCCCCGCTCTTTGTCTGGTTAGAGATCCTGTTCGCGCTTGGTTACAGGCCAGAACTGAAGAGCCGGGTGGACAAGATGGTGGTGCAGGATATTGCCAAATATCGCGAGGTGAAGGCGCAGAAGGCGAATGGGCAGGCGAACGGATCTGCTGTCAATGGTCACACCAAGCAATCATAGTCGTACCACTGGTTGGCTCTGGAACGACAACGGGGGACGGATGAATTGGGGGGTGGTGGTGATGGTGGCGGTCCTCGAGGTCGACGACCTCTATAACGACATTCGATTTACTGAGCGCATTCAGGGTATACGACGACGCTATTGATTCCCCTCCGGCATTTTCCATGATGAGCGGCGACATGCTATTCGGTTGGAGTCACGAGAGTTATTTTGGCTGTGTATATGTGGCTGGAGGAAATTCTAACATCCCTCGAGCTCTCTTCAACATCTGAACTAGTGGACCATCTAAAAACGTAGATTTTACTTCTAGATACCTTGAAAAAGTATACCTGTCTCTTCACAACTCTCGTTCGTAACCTGCTCGCTCTTGAATCCCTAGTATCTCCGCCTTTCTACACCGGAGTTGCCAAGAAGCTGCCAAGAAGCGCTCGGTGTCGGTTACCTCCAAAGTCGTCTTTAGCCGCCAAGCCCTGGCATGCCCCGGCTTTCAGGCCCGAGGTACCTACTGCATCTGTGATTACATCTTCATCTTTCATCGCATCATCGGTATGCTCACTGCTTATACCCCTGTTGCCAATGCCAAGGTAAGTCTGATCTGGTATTCCATTCCTATGCGCATTGAATGCGTTTCTGAGCTCATCTGAACAATCAACTCGACCAGACTTATCAAGCTAACTACGTGCTGCAGCCAGAGCCAGAGTTCGGGTCCAGGTAGTTCATCTTCAAAACCACGACATCAGCCGCCCAGGAAGAGATTTAAATTTCGTCATGCTGGCACCAGCCTTTACGACCTCACTTTTGACCGCAATCAAACCTGGGTTGATAGCATAAAGGACGGTAGATATGCCCTGAGAGACAAGTGTTTTCCGCTTCCGTCAAAATCACTGCCTCAGAGAGCCGGCTTCCCTGTTGCTTACCAGAATCTTACGAGCAGGATCGCTTAGATTCATTGACCAAGGTCCCCGCCTACGCTTCGAGAGTAAGAGTAATAGTACCGATGCATATGACCTGAACCTTGGAGATCGCCCTGGAACTGGACATACCACTCTTGAAGGATCAGAACGGCAACGAGAAATCTCTTCAGCTGCTTTGGACGACAACCACGCTCTCTCTCTGGCCGTGTCTCGCTTCCACGCTGGATCCGGCCTTCCATCGACGATCGGCAAAGAGCACACATTGAACATTACTGCAAACACTCTTTCATACCGTGAAATACCTCCGCGTCATACTGTGACCAATCCCCTTGGCGCAGAGGCGCCGCTTCTCCCCAGTCATGACATCAATTTTTGCGGCTCAAGCTCGCCGACACAATTCGTGTGGCCTGTCGCCTTCGAGGCCTACCACTGCGCATCCTTGATGCACTTCTTCGTTGAACGGTTGGCCCCTATGGTATGCGAAAATCAAATTGCCATTCCCCATTGTGG